GCTTGCCCTGGAAATGTGTCCCCCTCGAAATCAGGAGCTTTACCTTGCTCTATGGATGTGTCACTGAGGAACCAGAGCTGCCCTGTAGCATGGAGGGAAGATCCCCCAGCAGGTAAGAGGACACAGCTCTAAAATTGCCTCTGTACCCCAATCCGACCCCCTCTATTACATAGTCTGAGCCTCTCCGTACCACATCCTGACTTCCTACGTACCCCAATCTGACTCCCTCCATTCCATAGTCTAACTCCCTCCATACCCCAATCTGACCCCCTCCATTCCATAGTCTAGCTCCCTCTGTACCCCAATCTGTCCCCCTCCATTCCATAGTCTGATCCTCTCCATACCACATCCTGACCCCCTACGTACCCCAATCTGACTCCCTCCATTATATAGTCTAACTCCCTCCATACCCCAATCTGACCCCCTCCATACCACAGTCTGACCCCCTCCATACCCCAATCTGACTCCCTCCATTCCATAGTCTAACACCCTCCATACCCCAATCTGACCCCTCCATCCCATAGTCTAGCTCCCTCTGTACCCCAATCTGTCCCCCTCCATTCCATAGTCTGATCCTCTCCATACCACATCCTGACCCCCTACGTACCCCAATCTGACTCCCTCCATTATATAGTCTAACTCCCTCCATACCCCAATCTTCCATAGTCTGTCCATCTCCGTACAACAATCTGACCCCCTCCATTCTATAGTCTAACCCCCTTTGTACCTCAATCTGACCCCCTCCATACCCCAATATGACTTACTCCATTCCATAGCCTGACCCCCTCCATATCCCAGTCTGAAGCCCTCTGTTACCACAGTCTGACCCCCTGCGTACCCCAAGTTAATCCCCTCCATACCATAGATAGACTATAGCAGCAAACTGCAGAACAGCAAGCAGTTAATAAGCCCCGCCTCCCAGACATAAGAAGTAAGCCACCTCAATAGAATACCTATCCAAGGCTTAGCCCGTTCAAAAGGAGCCGTGCATAGGTAATCGATTGAGGCAGCCTACGTCAGCTCATTCACACAAAAAACTATAGAACGGGAGTGTTTTGGACCCCCCACACCCTCTCCTCTCCGATATTACGCTGCTGCTCTCCGTGTATACCTGGCTTCCGCATTAACCCCTACGCCTGCCGGGCACTGTCTGTTTACCTGGGCGGTTTTCACCGGATCTTCTCCCTGGCCAGGTTCAAATGCTGCGCCAGTGGAAGGGGGCGGGCCAATTACAGCTGTATGGGAGAGAGGAGGAGGCGGAGCAACTGCACCAGGACAAGTCAGGTAGCTCCTCCCCTTCACTCTGGCAGAGGACGGGAATGACGTCGGCGAGCTCTAGTCTGCAAGTGCGCATGCGCAGTGAGTGGTTATATTACTGTCACTACTCCCGTATATGGTCAATGAGATTGAGAAATGAAAACACGGAGTGAAGTTTATCAAAACTGGAACAGAATAATCTGGAGCAGTTGCCCATAGCAACCTATCAGCTTTTTCCTTCAGTTTGTTTAGTTAGGAATGGAAAATGAAAGAGAGAAGCTGACTGGTTGCCATGGGCAACTGCTCCAGTTTCTGTTTGCTCCAGTTTTGATAAATTCCCAATTTTACTGGCACTGTCCTTAAATTTGCTCATATTTGGAACAGCAACTACAGTTCTTGCTGACACACGAAAAGGTAGTCCCAGCAAGGAGTGTTGGGTCTGTGGACTGTGAATGGGGGAAGGGGGGTACACAAGAATATATAGCCCACCACACTGCAATCTGCAGCAATCTATCAACTAAGGCCGGCAATAGGCGCTTCATCTTCCCTCGTTCAGCCTGTGGATGGAGGGATCTCCCTGGCCGGCTGTGGCTACTCAACACCGGAAACAATGTATTAATCTGATTGGACGCAGTGACTGTTCGGCCAACAATTTTCCATCTGGCTCCTTCAAAACGTCAATTGAAAAATCAACTTAAAGTGTATGGCACAGACCATCAGCTCTTCCTCAACTGCTCCAACACACACTGGCTAATGGCTGCTGGGAGCCTTCCCTTTTATAGTGGGGGGCGGAACATGAGGAAGACCCCATCATTGGCCCTTCTGACCACGGCTGAAGGCCGTGCAGTGCATTACGGTTACAGAGATTTGGCAATGAAAACTGGTGAGGTAAGGATCAGTGGGTCTATAGAAGACTGGTGAGGTAAGGATCAGGGGGTCTATAGAAGGCTGGTGAGGTAAGGATCAGGGGGTCTATAGAAGGCTGGTGAGGTAAGGATCAGGGGGTCGATAGAAGGCTGGTGAGGTAAGGATCAGGGGGTCGGTGGAAAGCTGGTGAAGTAAGGATCAGGGGGTCTAAAGAAGGCTGGTGAGGTAAGGATCAGAGGGTCAGTGGAAAGCTGGTGAAGTAAGGATCAGGGGGTCGATTGTAATGCTGGCGAGGTAGGGATCGGGAACATCTGTGGAACGCTGGCAAGGAAGAATCAGAGGTGGATAGGTCACCCTTGGGAATACACAAGGAAAAACAGAGAACACATTATGGAGATTTATCAAAACTCGAGCAGACAAAAACTGGAGCAGCTGTGCACGCCAACCAATCAGCTTCTCTCTTCAGTTTGTTCAGTTAAGATTTGTAAAAGAAAGGTAGAAGCTGATTGGTTGCCATTCACAGCTGCTCCAGATTTTGCCTGCTCCAGTTTTGATAAATTCCCTTTAAAGTGTAGAGCGCCTGTGTGGCTGTAGCCCAAAGGGGGAGGCAACCTCGGCCCTCCAGTTGTTGTGGGACTCCAAGTCCCATGAGGCATTGCAAAACTCTGACAGCAACAGACATGGCTCTCAGAGACAGAGGCATGCTGGGATTTGTATTTTCACCGCAGCTGGAGTGCCGAGGTTGCCTACTTCTGCTCTAGCCATTTTAGGTACCTACTAGCATCCCCCCCCCCCCCCCCCCTTTCCCCGCACGCAGGAGCTTCAAGCAGAGCAATGCAAGGTGTGAATTTGCAGACAGTCACAGGTCTATATATTATGTGTATGGAAACCCCAACAACAAACTTCTCATTACATACAAAAAAAATGGAGAAACAAATAAAACAACAAATTGCAGAAAAATCAATTTTATTTTTACATTAACAATTTCCCCGCCACCCTTGTATCAGAAACACATCAGTAGAAAGGTATATTTCCATTTACAACAAAAGGAGATCTGAACACATTAAGATTCAGAGTAATGATAATGTTTACAGTGTCACAACCTCTAGCAACCAATCAAATCTCACCTCTTACTAGGTCTAAGCCTGTCAGTACAACAAGGGCTTGTTTACATCAAGTGCGGAGCAGTTACAGAACGGATCAAAACTGCGTCCAAATTTTTCCCAATGGTATTTTGGGCTCTAGTTCACACCGCAGCGTTCAGTTCCAGAGCATGTGGAAGAACTGCAGCATGCCCTATTTTTTCTGCTCTGAAACGCATCAAAAATGCATGCAAACTCCCTGGAACGCACTGAAAGTCCATGTTAGGCTAAAATATATATATATTTTTTTTTTTACAAAAACGGCCTGGAACGCGTCAAAAACGCTGCAAAAACTTGGCAAGACACACTGCACTGCATGTGCAGAAACTCATGCAGATCTGTCCTCCATTTGGTGTGAACAAGCCCTGAGAGGTGACCGATGATTGGTTGCCGGGTGTTACAGCACTTTACATACTGCTCACTTATTTCCTTTACTTTAAACTGAAAACTAAAAATACCAATCAGTTCATACTAAAAAGTCAGATCATTATGGTGGGTTTCCATGAGATACAGCCCCTATTACAAAGGCACTTCTCCCAATCTAAGCTGCAATCTCCATCGAGGTCATATACAGCCTTGGTTCTCAACCGGTGGGTCGTGACCCGAAAGTGGGTCGCGACCCCTTGTTCAGTGGGTTGCCGCATGCCTTCCACTGCACTAGCTGAGAGGCTCCTCAGCCTACCCCTAGCGCAGCAGCACTGTCAGTTCTCGCACTGAGCAGCTAATCAGAATATGCTGCCCGGCGCCGAGTGTCAGCTTGAGATGGGGTGGGTGGGCTGGAGCTATGGACGTGAGGGAGCTCCATCCATACATGCATTGCTTACAGCTCCCTCGCGTGCCTTGTAGAGGTGCATGAACCGGAGTGACATCACATTCTGGCTCCCGGCACCTCTACAAGGGTGCATGGCAGCTGTACAAGAAATGCACACATGGATGGAGCTCCGTCACAGCACCATGGCCCACACTGCCGTGCATTCCATTGCACTGCAACTTGGGTTGCGAATTAATGGCTGAGGACAAATGTGAGCCCTGAGGTTACACAGGTTGGAAACCACTGATACGCAGAGCCTCTTCTCTGCAGAGCTCCAGCCCTATTCAAGCAACTTTCACCATTTTGGGATTTAGAAAATGATTCTGCTGTACAAAGCAAGATAAGTTGGTGGTGTAAAGAATGGAGCTAGACCTCGCATGAAGTAGAAGATAGTCACACTTGTTAAGCTGCTAGACTTCTCTCTGGAGCTCTACACAAAAGAAGCCAGTGAAATCCCTGAGAAAGATATAAAACCAACATGGGCTTTAGCTCTCCAACATCTGCCAAACTTTGAAGAATTCAGTGACGTCACAAGGGGGGTGCAGGCCGCACAGGGTGACACCATCAGAGGGGATGACACCAAAATGACTGACAGTCATTTTGGTGTCACCCCCTCTTAAACATTGTGCAGTCAGCCATGGACTGAGAGCCCGACAGCAGTATGGGGAGGGGGACCCAGCAGCATATCTGATTCCACCAGGTCAATATCCTGCCCCCTCTTTGCCGGCGTCCATCACCAGGATGGCCACTGGCAGTAAAGTACATCACTGTGCATGCATGATGACGTCACACCACGGACGTCATAACACATGCACGGCGGCTGCACTTGGTGACACCCACCCTGGTGCTGCCGCTGCAACTAGGGGTGGATGGATAAAACTGTCACTGACTGCACAGAAAGAAACATACAGCAAAATATATTCCTACTTTGTAATCTTTATTGACCCATTCCAGACAGCGATCACAAGATGGAGGGGCTGGGTGAAGGTGGCGGTGAAGGTGTAGAGGTGTCTGATCGGGTCACACAGCTCGTAAAAGGAGATCTGTCCGGCCTCGTAATCCAAATAGATTCTGAATTTATAGCTGGTAGGATGGTGAAGAAGAGCTATCTCTCTATTTTCATGCATCACACTAGACTCAGTATAATCCTGATAAAACATATCATCCAGATTATAATCACTATAATACCCACCACTATGTCTCCTATACTTTCTTAAACACCAGGATTCCTTATTCTCCCCAACAATTGATTTCCTGTCCATACTGGGATAACACAACCCGACTCCCCAGCTAGTTGAATTACTCATGTCCACCTCCCAGTTATACCGTCCTGAAGAATAACTTCTCTTGCTTAGAACCTGATTGTTCTTAAATCTTCTGGGAGTTTCTGGACGAATTACTTTTACTGCCGACAAAGATGCGATTTTCAGATCACCTGATATCTGTATATCATTAGCAGCTGTTTCCTTGTCAAGTAAAACTTCTGATGGTTGTCGTATCCGGATGTTAAAATCTTTTATTCTGTCAGATAAATGGTGTAATCTTCTTGTGATGAGATCCTCATGGAAATCACCTTCAGTTGGAATCATTGTGTCCATATTGTGATTCGGCTTGGTATGGTAGATGTTCTCTCCATCGGAGGTCTTATCCTGCAGGACGGTCAGTGGGTCAGTGGTCTTACACAACTCCTCAATGCGAGTCATCTTCTTGGACATCTCCTCCTTCTGTATCTCCAACTGTTGGATGAGTCCAGAGACTGACATGGAGATCTTCTCTTCTATGCCTGAGATCTCATTCAGGACATTCTTCTGAAGTTCTTTTAGTTCTCTCCTGATATCTCTGAACATGGCAGTGACTCTCTCTGTTACACTAGCTGCTTTATTTTGTACATCTGCCCTGCGTTCCTGCAGACTCCGGACTTGTTCATCAACCCATTCTTTATATGAAGTCATCATCTCCAGATCTTTCCTCAGCCTCTCCTTCTTCTTCTCAGAAGCCGGATCCAATGACTCTACCTGGTGCCCTTGATGTTCTCCGACAGCGAAACAGTATACACAGATAGTAACCTTTTCCGAGGTGCAGTAATACTCGATAATCTTTTTGTGGATGGGGCACTTTCTGTTCCCTGAGGAATCGGTGGGATCGGATAAGACGTGTTCTGATGACTTGGCATGGACGCTCAAATGTTTGCCACACAGAGAACATTCACAGTGCAGGCAGGATTTTTTAGCGGGTACAGGAGAGTCCACACAGTAAGTACAATAGATTCCCGTGTCTTCTTCATCAGACTGAGAGATGTGGAACCTCTCTGCTATGTTACTTAGAGCTCTAGCAGTATACAGTACGGGTCGCGCCTGGAACTGCTCTCTGCACTCCGGGCAGGTATAAAGTCCAGACGCCTTCTGAGTATCCAGCACACGATCTATACAGTCCCGGCAGAAGTTATGTCCACATTTCAACGTTACTGGATCCGTATAAATGCTCAGACAGATGGAGCACCTCAGCTCGTCTCGGATATCAGCAGACGCCATCACAGCCAGCAGAAGGAGAAATGAAATTGAAAGTTTGTTCTATTATAATATACGGAAATAGTCCCCTGAGCTCCACTTGTCCAGCTCACAGTTCAAAGAACCAGTCCACGTACTCACTCCAAGATTCCCAATGTTTTAAGATTTCATAGATCTCGGATCTTTGTTACTTTGAAGCAACTCTGGATGGATTCAACATGCTCCAAGGTTGTGAACATGTCTGATATTCCCCAGATGATCAGTTCCTTTTTATCCGTTCAATGATTTCACCTCTCTTTGGGTCCGTCACTTGTCTCCTTTAGACCTCTTTTTGCTCAGAGACTCTGGAGGGCTTAATCATCAACTTCAGCTGCTTCCAACAAGGTTCCAACTCTCTCCTCCGCAGTCAGAAATACAGCAACCTCCCGGTCATGTGACCTCTGCCCCACCCACAGAGGTAATTACATGTACAGGCAGTGCCTAGGAATTAAAGTGACAGTGACGCAGTATTATATTTCAGAAAGGAGAATGGAGTGAAGATGAGTAGAAGCTGTTTTTGTTAACTTTAGACCCAGATAACAAGGATAACTTGCCACAAACTTGTGGCAGGGTTAAATTGTAATTCTTGTTAACTTGCTGCACACATTCCTGGCAAGTTGTAGAATCGCAGAATACTTGCAGCACAAGTTCTAGGCGACACTTTTTGAATTTGTAGCAAATTTGCTTGGCAAGTCCACAGCAAGAGTCCTGCAGGTCTTAGCAAGAGCTCTGCAAGTGTACAGCACTTTTGCAAAGCACGTTGATCTGGAGACTTGCAATGCAGACTTGTTGTAATTGTGCAACAAAATTGTGAAGCTTGGCAAGTCTGCAATAGTCAATCCATTTTTAAATGCTTTCCTATGTTCCTCAGCTCCATCTAGTACCCATAATGCAGTGCAAATGTAAATGTCAGTTTTCACACAAAAAATGGCTACGTTAACGTTTTATAAACACAACCATAAATGTCCAAAGTAATATCATTAGAGATACAGTATAAACACTCTATATGTCAATGCTATATCCATCCAACAAGTTTTTTTGTCCACCTCTTCGGGGATGCATACGCAGGTAATAAAAACCATCTTAAAGTGACATTAAAGTCAATTTTTTTTCCCTCTCCGCCAATGTTAATGTTTGCACTTACCTTAAATGATGCCTTTTATTCCGATCTTCTTCCGCTTTCCTGATGTTTTCATCTGTCCCTCCAGAGGTGCGGCGGCTCTCCGATCCAGCGCTGACACCTCTCTGCTTGCAGGCACTTCTGATCCAGCGGTGTCTGCAGGCGGGTGCACGCTTCCATAGACTTACCTTGCGTCTCTGCTCGTCTCCCGGACGAGAATCGGAAATGCGCATTCCCCAAGATACTTTGCGGCCGTACGAGCAGTTCCTGATTCTCGGCGCGGGAGCGGGCAAAGGCAAAAAGGTTCGTTTAAACCGCTGTTTTAGCTTTTTTTGTTTTTTTTTAACTGTTTGCCTATATCTACTGCTTAATAGCAGTAGATATAGGCAAAAAAACGGGAGGGTTTAGAATCCCTTTAATCTTTAGATACCTACAAGTCAAAAGTTTCATACTAGTGCTAAACTAAATGATAATCTTCTATCTTTATCCCCATTCTAAAGGTTCTGTAAACAGGATCCGCACTCCCCCGGTATTATCTCACTGCTCTTACAAACAGACCCCCTTACCACATCACACATATATGGACCGCTGGCAGAAAGACCTGGACCGCGTGTTTTTGGAAGACACCTGGTCGCAGATATTGTCTTCCACCAACTCCTGCTCCACAAGCGCCAGAGTACTTGAAACAAATTACAAAGTTCTCCTTCGATGGTACATAACCCCCTCCCAGGCTCAGCATTTTCTGCCGAGCTGTGAAGGCTCATGCTTTCGCGGTTGTCCTGACAGCGGCACATATATCCACATGTGGTGGTCATGTCCCATTGCAGTGGCGTCACAAGGGGGGTGCGGAGGGTGCGGCCCGCACCCGGGTGCCAGCATTGGAGCGGTGACACCAAAATGACTGACAGTCATTCTGGTGTCACCCCTATGAAATGTCGGGCACTCGGTCACGGACCAAGAGCCCGACAGTGTCAGGAGAGAGGAGGGGACCCGGCTGCATACCTTATCCCGCAGGGTGAACATCCCCTCCTCTCTCGTCAAAAAGACCAGTGCGCATGGGACCTAAAGGGTATGGTATGAATTGCCTGTGGAACCGCACACTGTTTTTTGGGGGTATTTTACATCAGGGCCCCCTTAAAATTCCATATCAGACCCATAATCCAGGCAGCAGCCATGCAGGGTAGGAAAGAGGGGGGAGGACGAGTGTGTGGCAATCCCAACACCCGCCAACTCGCCGAAAAAAACACCCACCACTTGCTGCCCGATGGAATGTTTACATTGGGCAGTGGGCAAAAGTAAACAAAGCCTGCTTTTGGCTATTTTAAATTGCAACTGCCATAAGCTGGATGGCTATCGCTCCGCTCACTGCCTGATGTCAATCAGCAGAGGAACAGACCTGAGAGGGAGGCAGTGGACAGGTGCATTAGCCAGCCTGCTATTGGCTATTTCAATCTGGATCTAAGCAACAAACTGGCAACACTAAGGAGCATAACCACCATGGAAAAGAGTCTGGACTTAACGCACCAGGCTGTCATGGAGGGGGGTCAGGCTGAGGAGGGGGGTTGGAGCAGCGGGATCCCGAGGTGGGAAGCTGGGTCACTGTTAGAAGGCGGGGGAGGGGGAAGAGTGCTAGAGAGGTCAGCCCTGATCTGATTCACCCCAATAAATTTGCCAAGTTGCAAGATGTTGGGGACATCAGTTCAGGGGGGACTCTGCTGGAGCACGACGCATCCTCTATCCGGAGGGGGAGTGACTGATGAAACAGCCAATAGCAGGCTTTGCTTATTTCTGCCCACTAAACATTGCATTGGGCAGCGAGCGGCGGGTGTTTTGTTTTTTTCGGTGGGTTGACGGGTGCGCGGATTTCCAACAGTTAATACATAGACCAGAGGTTTTCAGAAACTCAGAATTGATTGCCATGGCTGCTGATAAGGATGAAGCAAAATTAACAGCATATCATACGCATACAAAGATATTTTATCTTCACATTCCCCTCTCCTATAACCTCCACCACTGTTGATTGTCTGAGAGCATCCAATGGTTCAGTGGTCAGGGGCAGGGCAAATAAAAAAGGTGATAATGGACACCCGTGCCTGGTCTCTAGGCTCATCTTGAATGAAGCAGATTGTGCCCCATTTGCTTGTCCCAGATGCTTCGGGACTAGTATATAGCAAACGGACCCATTTAATAAAAGATGGTTCAAATCCAAACTTTAATAATAGGACCTAAAAATAGCTCCATTCAACACTGTCAAACCCTTTCATGGCATCCAGGGCCAATAAGGCCCGATTGCCCGAACAATCGATAGGAACTTGGATATTAAGAAAAGCTTGTCCAATATTAATTGCAGTGGAAGAATTAGGCATAAAGCCTGTTTGATCATGATGGATTATTTTCATTATTACCCTTTTAAATCTTGTCGCTATGACCTTCACCAAAATCTTTACATCCACAGGGAAGAGTTAGATTGGCCAATAAGACTTCAAATGAAGGCGATCCTTACCCCTTTTTGGAATCAAAATCATTGATGCATCATACATAGAAGGTGGAAGAGACCCCCGAATCCAACGCATCCTTAAAAGTATCTAAAAGGTCTGACAATAAGATATCCTCAAATTGTTTTAAAAATTCAACCGGAAGTCCATCCGGACCAGGAGCTTTACCTTTTGTAAGTACAGACACCGCTTCTTCCAATTCCTCTAAGCTCAGCGGAGCATCTAAAAACCCTCTATCCTCTTCTGTTAGTATAGGCGGGGGCGTATCCACCGCAAGACACACAAGGCGTTTGCGCTTTTCAGGGGGGCAGCAAAAAACGCTGCCCCCAAATCAGTAAAGCGAGTCGGGTTGCACAGAACCAGGCAGCCTCGGCTGCATAATCAGGCAAATTAGGCACCTGCACATGGGTCCTCGCGGCCGCCTAATTGACCTATTTTGCCTAATTTCCCTGCGAGAGCTGCCGGGGGGAGTCGGAGTCGGGGCCGAGTGGGATGCTGCACCGGCCAGGAGGTGAAGGAGAAGCTGGGGGACACTTAGAGCTGCCCATACCCCACCATCTAATGGCAGAATGTTTAGGAGGCAGGCTGGGGAGCTTCAGGTAAGAGGATTAGCACATGTATGCAGGGAATGGGACCCTGCACAGCCCACCTAAGACCCAGCAGAGCCCACTATAGATCCTGCACAGCCCACCTGAGACCCCGCAGAGCCCACCAAAGACCCCCCCCCCCCCAGTGTGACAGTTTCATTGTCACAGGTCGGCTCAGATTGTGAGGCTGAGTGAAACTCATGAAAAAGAGATGAGATAATTTGCACAAGGCCCTTTTTTGTTGTCTTTTAAAACCCTAATGTTGACTGTTGCAGAACTAGATACATTTTTAGTAAATACATTCCTGCATTTGATGTTCATCCGAGGTTAAGGTTTAACTGGTTTCTGTCATAATTTATTTATTATTTCTGATCTTTTTAGAAATCAGCCTCGAGCGCAAGATCACATAAGTTTGTGGACTCCTTACAAACGTGTGTACTAATCTACCAGTTTGTAGGTAGGTGCAGTATGGCCAACGGCCACTAGATGCCCCCATGAGGCCTGGAGATAGATGCAGCTCTGGCCTGGGAAGACTCTGTGTCCCAGGAGAGTTGATTTATAGGGGGCGCCCGAGAGGGGAAGGAGGCAGAGAGTACAGGAGAGCAGAAGTCGAGGACTGTTTGTAGAGTCTCCGGAGGGAGACTTTCTTGAATATAGGCTGGTCCATGGGAAGGACAGGACCAGGCCTAGGACTATGTAGAGCTACAAAGATTCCCTAGTTTACCCACTGGGGGAAACCCACCGAGCTAGGACAAGGATGGGATTCCTGAGAATATGGAGGAG